TCGCTAACACCCCCTCCTGCCACAGCTACTAACCTGCCCAAAAGGCCTCGGGCAGTTGACGGCTGAGCTGGGACTGGGAGGCACATCCTAGTTCCCAGTCGCCACAGCTCCCTCCTTCCTGGAGGGAGGGACCAGGCACTGGGGCTGCTCAGGGTCTCATCTCAGAGGCACCCTGGGAATCAGTGCCTCCACCCTCTGGGCCCCACCAGGCCTGCTTTCCTCCCGCACTGCAGCCATGTCCAAAGGCTTCTAGGTGTCAACACGCAGTTGATTTGACCAAGATAGTTCACTATGGAATGGTAACGAGCCGGGACAGTCCTGGGTACCAGATACAGTCCCCCCTGCAGCCCCCTGAGAAAGAGCTATTATCTTCCCCATTTCGTAGCTGAGGAAACAGGCTCACAATCACAAGGAGCGTCAGCAGAGATTTGAACCCAGATCCCTCTATCTCTAAGCCCTTCTACTTCTCAACCACTTTAAGTGTCCCAAAGTCCCACTGACTGCCCCCCTGCCTTCAGCTCACCCAACTTGTCCGCTGCTCAGAGCCCCCATCCATCCTACCATGGGGCATGCTGCCCTGGCTCCATGCACACTGGGCCTGGCCTCTCAGACCACAAAGCTGGGCCCGGTGGGGCCAGAAGAGGCCCAGCCCTGCCCCGGTCAGCAGCTCCAAGTCCCACAGGAGCTGCAGGAAGACAGGGTGCCAGAATGTGAAGGGGCACCCACCCTGCCCTCTGCCACATCCCCTGGCCAGCTGGACCTTACCTGCTCCTGGGCCCGCCGGCTCCGCTCCATCTGCAGTAGCACCGTGGGCAGTTCCAGGCCTGAGGGACAGGCCTGGCCCTCTTGTACCTGGGGAGGCAAAGTGGAATCAGGCCCCACGGAGAGCCCACCCCCTTGAAAACAGTGCCCCTCCGCCCTCACCTGCTGCAGGGCAGCCCAGAGCTGGCCCAAGCCTGCAGGGCAGTGGAAGATGCGCTGGTACAGGGCCAAGGCCTGCTTGAGGCTACAAGGGAGCCCTCGGCCCCCAGGAGTGGCTGTCTGCTCCATGGGGTAGGGGGCCAGTGAAGATGATCCTGCCTTCCTCTCCCTCTGCTGCTCCTCGAGAGAGGAGGAGGACCAGGAGCTGGGGACAGGAGCAAGGAGGAGACAAAGGCTCCTGAGCTAAATAATGCAGCTCCCTGACATCTGAGCCAGGGCCTGGGCCTCAGCCAAGTCTCATAGAGATGCTGACCTGACTCTGATGCAGGTTTCTTGGCCATCTGGGTGGCAGTGTGGGGTAAGGAGTAAGATCCTGATAAAGAGGTGTGTGCAGGTGCTCATTTGCAGTCCGGAACGAGCATCAGTTTTACATAGATAGTTGAACCTTCAACAGCTCAGGGGTTAGGGATGCTGACCCTCCACCCAGTGGACAATCCAGATATCACTTATAGTTGGCTCTCCGTATCGGCAGTTCCTCCCTATCCAAGGAGTCAACCAATAGTGGACGGTGTAGTTCTGCAGTATTTACATTGAAAAAAATCTGAGTATAAGTAGGCCCATTGTTCCAAATGTCAACTGTACGTGTTATGCTTGCAACTGCATTGTATGGGTATGTGATGTGCCCAGTACAGCAGCAGCTCCCAGCAGCTTACTGTGTGCCAGGACACAGAAGCCTATGTCCGTGTAATCCTTCCTCGAAGCAACTCGACAAAGTAGGTGCTACTACTCTCATCCCCAGTTCACAGTCAAGAAAACGGCCCCAGAGAATAAGTTGCCCTAACTAACAGGTGGCACTATCTCCTTCATTGGAGACAGACGGCCATGAGAATCAGGCTCTGGGAAAATGTGGTCCCAAGTATAAGCAGGGATGCTCTTCCCCAGTGCTCACTGCAAGTGGCCCGAGCGCAGAGTGCTATCTGTTGGTTACTCTGTTTATTCCCCAAGACACGTGAGATGCAGACAGATGAGAACACAGTTTGCATGACTTATGACAAGGGGAGGGAACGGGCGTAGGAGATGGTCTGTAGTCTCCACACCTCCTGCCACCATGAGCAGTCTTGCCTGTAACTGCCTTGTAAGGGCTCCGTGAAAGGGGCCCCAGCAGAAATGGGCTGAGCAAGCAGGGAGGGGGTCTCAGTTCAGCCCAAAGCTCGCTCTCCCTTTGCTCCCTGTTGGAATAATAAGGTTCCTGCAATGAGAATTGAGTGCCCCGATCTTTTAGCTAAGGTCCCTAAAACCCTAAGGTCACACACCTGGTAGGTGGCAAAGAGAACTCAAAATAGAGTTTTCTTTGAAGAGACTTCTTGTCAAATTGATTTTTTTTCAACTTCAAAACCCACATTCCTTCCCCTATAAGGATGTCTTTGAAAGTTGCACGTGTCCCCTCCTACATGTCCATCTGGGGTGGGTGTTGCTATGAACACACACAGATGTACATGGGTTTCACATGTGTCTGTATGTCATCACAGACACATTGTCTCTCCTGTTCCCTACTCCAGGTGGGGGATCCCTATGTCACCAGCTCTTAGAGTGGCCCAGGAAGTGCCTGAGCACTCGGTATTGGGATGGCTCGGGGTACAGGTGCAAAGAATGGGTAAGGTCCCACAGCTGCCACCACCCTGACCCTGGAAACATTGACCTCTGGATCCCAGGTTCCAAGCAGCCCACACCAGAACCCCTGCAGCAGGAGGAAGCACACATACACGAAAGGAAACCTTAGGGGAGGCCCCAAGTTTACTGCTCCAACTCAACACAGCTGGGGTCTCTGTGGGCCCTGGGCCTGGGCTCTGAGTGCCCAGGCAGGGTGGGAGCTGCTTGCCAAGGGGAGACTTCTGGCCTGAGGAGTCCTGGTAGTGTCATCCTGGCTCAGGGTGGCCCCTGGGGCTCCCGGCTTGGGCCAAACAGAGCGCTGGGTGGCTGGTCCCCAGTGAGTAGGACTTGGGGGCAGGCCTCCGGTGAGATACAGTGGGCTTCATGCTCCACCAGGCCTGCAGGGCACTGGCAGCCCGGAACACAGGGCCTCACACAGTGGGCTGCCAGCTCCCTGAGGGGAATGTGCTGGTTGAAGCAGGTGCGGGGACAGGGTGGGCCACATTCATCAAACACGAAGCCACGGTCCAGGGGGCATCCCACCACTGCAAGCAGAATGGAAGGAAGGGTCACTGTTCTAGTCACTTGGCTCCCCACTATGACCTTCCCTGTACCTACCCTGTCCAGACCTGAGCCCTCTGTCACCCCTTCCCCAACCCACACTGGGCACTGCCCCCTCACCACAGAGCGTGGGGCCCCGCCAAGCAGGCGTCACTCCAGCCTGGCGACAGTGGCTGGCATAGGCTTCCAGGGCGTCACAGAGGCAGGTGTCACCCGAGGAGCCAGGGCCACAAGCACAAAGGTCATACACACAGGCAGCAAAGAACGGCTCTGGTGGCACCACAGCATGGCAGCGACTGAACGGGGAGGACTTCAACACCCCACACCGGGCATTGGCCTCACGCCTGGCACGGTACCCAGCTGCCCGGCATGGATCCACCTCGCGGCCCTTAGAACAGGGCCGCCCAGGTCCTGACCCCTCTGGGACCTGCATGGGGAAAGAGACCTTGATATGACAGCGTCCACTGGCAGCTAACCTTTGTGTGCTATGTTCCTCAAAGCACTTTCAACCAAATATTTTGTTTTAGCCTCAAAAACTTCCCTACAAGAACAGCAAAAGAAGCATCAGCTGCTTTTCTTTTGTCACCATTTTACAGAGAGACAAACCAAAGCCCAGAGCAGGTAGGTAGTTCATTCAAGATCACACAGTCAGTGAGTGGCATAGCAGGGCTTGAGGTTTCAGAATATGAGACCTCTTTCAACTGGCATCCTGCCTCCCCCAGCGCCATAACAGGCAAGGAGGCCCCAAACCTCCCTGAAAGGCCAAAATACCATCTTGTGTCCAACCCTCCCACTTTCCATACCAGAGGGCTGCTCTGAGACTCATGCCCAGCCCCCAGCTCCTGTGCCACTCACCTGCCAGCTATTCCCAAATGCAGCCTCAGTAGACAGGAGCAGCCCTTCAGGGTTCCGTAGATCATCCTGGGCAAAGCCATTGAAGTTGCCACAGAGCCCACAAATCTGGCCCCGGTAGGAGCCAGGCACTCTCACCTCCACCTGGGACTGCCCATCCCACAGCACCTGTGCAGAGAGGCTGCGACTGGAGGGTGGGAAAAGGCAAGAGCCCCAAGAAGCCCGGGGCCCATCCTGGCAGCAAACACTGTGTCAGCGCGCCCCCTGCTGTAGAGGAGGAGAATGGACAGGTGGAGGAGCCTCAAGGAAGGGAGGCTGCCCTGGCCAAGGCCAGGTGGGGACATGCTGGAGAGCTCTGGGCATACACAGAAGACGTTAAGAGCTGCCCACAACTCCTGCAAGAGGGCGCCTTCTCCCGTGGGCATCCTGAAGTGGGCCCCTACGTGAAATGCAACCCACTTCCAGAGATTCATTCTCGGGCATTTAGGCCTTACTGAGGACAAAGCATAGAGTCTGTATCATAAGAGTACACAAGACTTATTTTATGAATTTACAAGTGCGCTTGTTGTTAGAGGGAGAGGAGTGAAGTAATTTTCGACACAGGAATTGGAAGCAATCTCTGAAACCATCTAGGAGACCACAGTTTATATCCACCTCCCATTTCTTCCCCCATTTGACTGATGGGAAAGCTGAGGCCCAGAGAGGATTGGCTTAAGGTAATGGCCTAAAAGCCCCAGTGTCTTGGTGGGCGAGTCAAGATTAGAAACCAGGCTCAGAATTTCTTTCATTGCACCTGGAGGTCTCTAACCCTGATTCCTCTCCTCCCCTCAGAATCCGGCAGAATTCTCAACTCCATAAGGTAGCTGGTATCCCCACTCCCTCTACAGAAACAGATGCCTGAACAGGCCCGAGGCTCCCCTGCCCCCACTTGCCCTGGCCGTACCTGGAGCCCTGGCTGAGCGTGCAGGATCACCGTGCGTCCCCGAAGCTCCACGTACAGCAGAGGCTCCTGGAGAAAGGGCAGATCCACCGGGCTCCCATCCACCTGGAGGAAAAAGGAGGCGGGAGGAGGAGCGAGGTCAGGAAGGACGAATGGACAGCGTGGGACTGACTTTTCCAGGGTTCTCAGCTCTGCTCACCGTGACCGCCCCGCCCTGCAGCAGCCGCGCGGCTACGTCTCCCAGCAGCACGGCCACCTCCTGGGTCCAGGCCACGCCGCTCCGGCCCCGGTTATCATTGGTCACGTGCACGCTGCAGTGTGGGAGGCCCGGGTGCTGTGGTCAGCAGGGACGGGTGTAGGGGGACAGGGAAAAGGCAGAGGGAGTTGCGCACCTGAAGTTCCCCCCACGACAGTCCTTGGCCAGCAC